AACATCATCATCACCATTAACAACATCATCATCAACATGGGCATGCTACAACATCAACAACATCATCATCACCATTAACAACATCATCATCATCATGAGCATGCTACAACATCTACAACTTCATCATCACCATTAACAACAACATCATCACTATCAGTGATCACTCATATTGATTTTTTTTTCAGCTGAAAATTCACCAGATCGTTATTCCCTGAATCATCGTTTCCCACCATCATTGTGGGCTAAGGCTGGCGAATTCCTCAGGGGAAGTTCTTGAAAAAAAAAACAGTACACAGTCGTTTACACCAGCTGGCGATGATATGGGCTGTTTCTGTTCGTGCTAACAAGGGAGCCAGTGTCTAATAAAGAAGATCGCTACTATATACTACAAACCAGAACCCACGTCTGCTGTGAAGAGGGCAGGCAAAAAAAAAGGGGATATATATGTCCCAACTATTCAATCCGCTTGAGACAGCCTGTAGTCTCCCCCTCAGCGGCTTTTGGTTTTGTCACGTAACGTCCTTCTTATTGATGGTTTTCACGGCGGCCATGTTGGAAGAACTTAACAAAAGAATTGTCAATGAATTCTTTTGTTTTATATCCTCCAACATGGCCGCCGTGTCTTTTGTTATTTAATTCTCTTGGGAATGGTTGAAAACCATCAATACAAAATCAAACCAATTCGAAACCGAATCCAATCATAGTTTCAGTTGTAAATTATACTTTAACCCACTCGATGTCCGGCTGTGTCAAGAATGCAATGCACTACAATTATTTATATAGTTATTTATGATTACTAAGTTGTACAGCTGCATAGGTTTTATAACATTGTTTTATAGTGTTGCTAATTGTTGGATTTTACTGCTGCTAAAACCACGAAAACCAATTTTGCAAATTAAAGAATGTCCAATTATGCGATACCCCGAGTTCAAGACTAGTGTAATGAGATCTGTTCGTTACCTCGTGATCATTGAGTGGTTTTACATAACCTATAAACTAGACTCAAAAAAGGATAATATATCTTATTTATTTCTCTTATTTTGTCTATTTGACTATAATCCTTGTTTCATTCTAGAAACCTTTTTTTTTTTAAAAAAAAAAAAAC